ACAGCGTTTATTTAAAATGTAGAGTCTGCATCTGCATATTAGATACATCTGCATATCAGATACAAGTTCTCCATAAACAATCAGGAGTCAAAGTCATCAATGTTTTCTGACAGACCATTTTCTCCTAATTTAAAATAACATTTTCTGTTGGAGATAATATGAGATTTTTTCAAACAGATACTATCACTTGCTATTCCAAGTGTTTGGGAGGAAGATTCTAAAGTTGGAAAAAAATCATGCTGTGTATTTTCAGAAAAAGAGATAAAAGAGATTATAAAGAAACTAATGAAAAAGACATCACTAGAATATTTACAAAAGAATTATTAAACTCTTTTTAGTAATCACCTAGAAATAATAAATTTATTAAAATTAGCCAGTGTAGGATCGTCAATAAAACTCCACATGAAACCAACTGAATTTTCTTCTTTGGCACATAACTGACCTCATGGACAGTGATGAAGCAGTAGATATGCTGTATGTCTCTATCAGCAGCATCCACTATATACTTATCTTGAGGTTCTCATCAGTAAGCTAAGAAAATATTGTGTAGGTGGGTCATGAGTGGGATTGCCTCTGAAGTAATTCTCAAAAAGTAAGTATCAGTTGTGTACTCTCAAGCCAGGAGGACGTTTCAAGTAGATTTCTGAAAAGTTCTGGTCTCAGATGACTTCTATTAAATAGGTTAATGAATGGGTTGGATAAGGAAATAAAAGGTCATAACATTAGCAAATGACTACAAGAAACAAGGAGATAGTTAAAAGCATTTTGAAAATGGAATAGGAATCAAAGATAATCTTGAAAAATCAGAGATGGTCTAAAATCAGTAAGGTAAAATTCAGCAAAGGTAAGTGCACAGTACTACCCAGAGGTAGCAGAGCTCAAATCCTCAAATAAAAACAGATAATGAATAACTGGGAAGCAATATGTTTTGAAAGGTTATGAGGATTACTCAGCATTACAGGCTTGAGTAGTGGTCAATACTGTGGTGAAGGTGAAAAAGCAGGCAGACCTCAATGTAGGATGTATTAACAGAGAGTTTTAAACAGCCTGCAGAAGATGCATAGCGGGAGGTCTTGTCGGTGACACCTAGAGAAACAGGCTCTAACAGAATGGATAGTCAAGAAGACAACAGCAGGGCCAACAACAGTTTTAGAAAGCAAAGCACAGCCTGTTAAGAAATTTGGTTAATTTAGCCCGGATAAAGAAAAAAAGGAGTAAGCCAAAGTGGTCTTTTGCAGACAGTAGTTTATAGTGATTGTGCTTTGGGAAGGCAGCAAAGAAAAAAAAGAAAGCAAAGAAGACTTTCAGTATATTACAGGACTCTCTCACCCCACACTTGGTGCTAAGGTGGTGAAACCAGGAAGAAGGTAGTTAGGGGGGCTGTGGAGCGTACCTGGCTGGAAGTTCTCTGAGAGAAGGCATGCAAACTCCTGCCAGAGATAGTCATGCTGTACATGAGCCTGCTGCAGTGCAGGAATGCTCTACTGGATAACTTCTGTCAGATTCCTTCAGTCCCAATGTTTTTAAGAAAATATCCAGTGGGTTGGAATTTCTCACTACAAGTGAACATTAACTGGCAGGTAAACCTTTTCTGCTTCTTCCATCCACTTCCAACTACGACCTTCAGTACTCTGCATTTTGACTGTTTAATATTTCTTTTTTTTCCCCCTGAAATATTTAGGTGGTGGTTTTAATTCATTTGTGAGAGGAAACAAGAGAACTAACTGCTTTCCAGTGGATTTGTGTTCACTATTTCTCCCGTATTCTGCTGCAATAAACAAAGGATTTCTCCCAGCCCCCCCCCATAGTTTATTAAAGCCTCATGGCACTGTGTTCACTATCAACAGTACTTCCCACTCCCCTTGTCCTTTTGAGTTTCACTCCACCAGCCCCCTTGGCTGTTCCCTGGCTGTTGGATAGGGAGGCTGCCCTGTATGCTCCAGCTGTTTTGGGGTATATTTATGCTTACTGGCCAATATGAGAGCCAAATGAAAGACCAGAGAGACCATTTAATTGTTGAATTCACTCTGAAGCTTTTCCCTCAGCACACAAATGAACATGGGTTGCTTTCTTTGATCCATCTGTGAGTTTCACAACACTTGTAGACGCTTGTAGACTGCTGTCAAACTTACCTGAAATGAACTAATGGGACCAGAAATTACTGGCAGACAGAAAGGCCTCATCAGACAGACAAAAATATCACTGCAAGAACATTATTTGTTTAAGTAATCAAGCTAAAAGTAAAAGTATTTTATTTTGAGAATACTTTATTTTTCATGTGTTTTTAAATAGCATAAGCAACGATTTTGATAAATGTTTTGTTTCTGTTTTGTGAGAGAAATAGAACACATAATTTAAAAAGTTTTAGCACTTACTCCTGTGGAAACTCTATATTTCACCTAAAAAGTCCAGGACAAATACTAATAAATAACTGAGTCTTTTAACACATTTCACAGCTACAACAGCCTTTCCTTCATTCCAACTGGTTTTAATAATGCTGATTTTAATAATTCTGATGCTTCTAGCATTTCAAATTTCAAGACCTTTTTGTATAGGCCATATTTGAAGAAAGTAGGTTACACTCGCTCCAGTCTGTTAAAAACAGCTAACACTTTGCACTACTATTTTTTCTACACTGTAATTAGACTCAGATAGAGCTGACTTCTATCCTGATAGGTAATACAGTGAATCGAGACACTTCATGGACAAGTACATTGCATGCAGCACTTGCAATAGTTGTAACAACTCAGATATATCCAGGACAGTGGTCAGATGCCTCCTGATTCCTCGCCAGTGGGTGGCTTGATGCAGCACCTCTGGCACAACTGAGGCAGAAGCATAGGAAACATTATTCAGTCACAGTCACCTTGTGTCTCGGGGACTCTCATCCATTTTCACAATTCAGTTTTCACATTGTCGTGGTCACAGCTGAACAGATTTCTTTCATGCTCAGCTGATTACGAGTGACAATCCAGAACCATCAGCGCATTTTAATACTAAATAAAAATACAAAGATCAAAGGTTTCTACACCTCTTCCAACCCTTAGTAAACTCACATAAATAAAATATTTGGTAATTTCCTTAATCTAGGAGGATATTATCTTTCCATATTGCCAATTCCCTGGATTTGGGCAATTAATGGCAGGCTTTGGGTCCCACAGCATAGTTCTTACAAAGCTATAAGAAGCTGCACATTTGCAATGGCTTAAAATCTGTTTGTGTCTTACTCTGGACCTGGCTGTAGGTAGTAGCTGTTTGGGATCAGGTCTGAACTGACTGCAGGAGGAAGCCCTACAGGATAAAGAAAGCCTCTTTGAACCCTCTGTGATGCAGCAGTACAAGACTCAACAATGATCCCGGCATCCTTACTGAGAAAGTCCTCCAGCTAACCTGTCATTCTCTCCCTCCGACTTGGAAGAAGTGGTGCAGGGAGCACAAACACAGAGCAGACCGATAAGACAGGAAAGAGTCTTCTAAGGCTTGAGATTAAGGGAGAGACCTCCAGCAGCCGGAGCTGTGCCCTAAGCCTTTGCTCCTGGCAAACCTTTGGATTAAGAACTACACTTCTGGGGTTATTACTGAAGGACAAGGGGGTGGGAGAACAGTGAGTGCTACTGGAGAAGGGCATTTGGAAGGACTATGAGGAGATCAGGAAGTAGAAGGGACTTACTATGCAAGTACATTAAGGGGATATTTGATTATCCTGAGAATGTGTGAATGTGGACATTTAGCAGGTCTATTGCAATGTAGATAGCTACTAACAGTGAGGCTAGAATAGGGGAAGTGAATTCTCAACAGGGAGAGAACCAGCACAGGTGCACCATTAAAGAAATGCTTGTTTATATATGTTGCCAGCGATATCTCCCCATGTAACAGATCCCATGTTATCTTAGCTCAGTCCTGAGGGCTGCTGCTTTCAAAATCGCTGGTTCTCTCTTATCCACAGTAAACGATGCATCTTTAGGTATTTGCTCAGGGCAGACTTGGAAGCACAGACTCCCCGTGCTGTGCTAAACTGTAAATACCAGCTTCTAAGCTGCTCAGTATACTCACTTTCTAAATAATCTCAGCGACTATTCACTTGAGGGAAAGTTCAGTAGAAGTAAATTTTTTTTAGGCAGTGAATATCCTCTTCAACTGCATGTAACAAGAGCAAAAAAGTATTTATAACTTTCTCTCTTATCCACACAAGATATTATGACCATTAAAGATGTCCACAGGCAAAGATAAAATGTATAATATCATGTTACATGTCCTAGGATATATGTAATTTACATTAAGCTATGTTAGAGATTATGCTTTAAGGAACAGATACATCTTGTCAGTGGTTTAAAATTAGATCGTATATTCTGCATGACTGAAATCTGCTCCTTATAGGATGTGCATGCACGTGTGTGTGTGAGGAAAAAAAAAGGTCCTCTTTTACTACTCTCTTCATCCGCACTTTTGAGTTCCAAAATGGAATTTTATATTAAATTAGAATGGAATTAATTGTATTTAGGAGATTTTGCTGTGGACCACCTTCTCTAAAATTCACCCTTTGCTAACTCCCTCCTGTCACAAACTCCTCATCCAACAGCAAGATATTGAGCAGAGGAATACTTCTGCCAAAGAAAACACAACAAGTTTACACGAGTAAATGCTTTGCTAAACTAGATCCTTATTAGTGATCACGATGGCTTATCTGGAAAATCCCAACTACCTCTTCTATGCATTTGTGTTATTCCAAGGGGGGTTTCCACAGAGCGGGAGGAAAGCTGAGTGATCAGCCTCTGCTGCTTTGGCTCCACACAGGTGCTCTGCAGGTCAGTGTTGAAAGCCACGGGATTAAGGGCTTAGTTTTGAAAACAGCAGTAGGAATTAGCACCTTGAAGTTAAAACACCAAGGGAAAAAGAAAAGATCGTGGTTATATAAATACAATCAGCCAGCCCCCGTAGTTGCAGGGAGAGTGGCTCAGTGCCCATTCCGGTGGGATGTGGGGCAGGTGAAGCAGGGTGGGATGTGGGGCAGCCCACGCAAGGAGCCCGCGGTCAATGCGGGTATCCTGGATGTGGGCCCGGACATCCCAGAAGGCAGAGTTGCCCATTCCCACCCAAACGTCGTTCCCTCAGCCAAACGCCTCCTTCCTCCCTCCGGGGCAGCCCAAGTGGGCCCACGCGGCCCGGCGGAAGCCGAGGAGCAACCCGTGTCCCCGCCACCCACCCCTGCACCGCTGGAGGCAACAGTGCCTTCCCCACGGCGGCACGCAGCCCTGACAGGCGGCAGCCCACGCTGCAGATCTCGCTGTAGCCGCCTTCCCCGGAGCGCCG